AAAGGTAATATTTACTAGAGACATAAAGAAAGTTGCCTGATATAATATGTGATTGAATTTACCAATTACTGACATCGTACAAACTTTACATGAACAACAAAGACACATGACAATAAATACTGTACACATAAATAACATACTACCAGATATGAGATACATTTTAGACAATAAACAAATATCCTGTATGAAACATCTGCCACACTTAAACCTCAAATTACCGACTTGTTCCTGTACCGTTCACTATCGTTAGGGCTAATGTTGGATCATAATGACTACTTTTAGGTTTTACTTGTTACAACATTTAGTGTAATGAACCAACTATTAACAACTCGTTTTCGATGTAAAATAGATAGTGGTTATTAGGATCAATTGCAATAGTGACGCCATATTTGTTTAATTTGTTTTATGTAACTAGTTTTATTAAGAATCCTGTAACCAACAAAGTCATTGGGTAGTACTTCGGTTGTTTGGTTTGTTTAATTTTAAGCACGAAGCTACACGATTGGGTGTCTGTGTTATGACCACCACGGTTTTTAGAGTTATAAACCTTCAGAACTGCCACTGAACCACTTTGAGGGGGGGGGGGATTGTTTGGAGAAGTGTGTTACAATATCTTGAAGGACTCCATCGGTCATTATAGAATTAACAGCTTCGTCAAATATTATAGGGAAAATACCAGCACTAAGCAAGCATGACGCATATATTTTGTCATTTCCTAATCACATATGTAGAATATCTCACAAATCCTTTACCATAAGGAAAACAAATCGGTTTAATAGGAAAAGACGGTGATCTAAATAAGCCAAAACTTGTGACTGTTCAAAGCAGCTGAGTTCTAATAGTCAAAGAACTTCTACGGTTGTCTTGGGGAAAGATTGAATTCCGATATTTCGTTCTCTGCTTTATTAATAATATGTACTTCCACAAGCAAAAATCACGCTCTCCTCCTTTGTCAACAACACTCTTAAACTCTGTTCAATAAATTGAATAGTGTTTTCTAAGATATGCGACTTTTTTAAGCATCGTGAAATCCCTAAAACCAATATTAACCAGCCATAAAAAAAACACTTGCCATATACACATTGAATTTACCAAACTACCTGTAGTCGCATGCGCTGCCACGTATTTGGCGCATGCGTACCATATGTTATTTGAAGATCCCGAAAATATAATATCAAAGATGCGCCAAGAATCAAGTTAGTACTTATAAACAAGTACTTTGTCATACCAACCCTCAAGTGACGTCAAATATCAATTGTCTTTAGATATCTACCAGCATTTTGAAATATTGTTTAACAACAGACAAAGTTGCCAAACATAAAAACCATTTTTCCATCGAATTTCAGCCAATGTTGATTGGAATCTATTCTTTTTCTAACACATTCTTACTACTAAGACGTATCCACAATAATTCTACAAAACACAATCCGCGCGAAATTACAATACATTAGTTGTTCATCTCTAGGATTATTTCATATCAACACGTTTTTCCCTACTCCTTTTGTTAAATTAAAAAACATAAATCGGTTTTAAAGTTTCTGGATATTCTACCCCTAAAAAAATAAGCCTAATTTTCGAAACACGTTGTTTTAGATGTTACCAACATACTGAATTGCACGTTCCGAGATGTTAAAAACTTGATAAAATAAAAATTCACGGTATGGTAAAATTGAATTAACTCGTGTGGCCGAAAATCCTGAACTGAAGCCCGTGTCGGCTCAGTTTATTTACAGCCCGTAGAGACCGAGATATGACGGGAAGATTCAAAAAAGCAACAAAAGCGTTAACCCTTGTGTGCCCAGCGATATTTAAAAAAATAAGCCGTCGTGCACTCTTCTCTTATATGTACCGTGTGCCTAAAATATTGACTCAGGTTTTCATACAAAATTTTTAAAATGAGACCCATGAGATATTTTGTATGTAAACCTGGTGCCAGACGTAACTTCAAATTTGTCAAATCTCCCGAGTCTTATAATTTCAAACTTCACATGAAAATAACGAAAGTTATTTAAAAGTAAAAAAAATCCCCCTTCTTTAGAAGTAATAAAACATTACAAGGCAATGTTTTTTTGTGAATTTCAGGGTAATCTGTATGAAAATTTTAGATCTAAATTAGGTGACAGCGCTTTATTTTGCTGCAAAAATTGGGGTTTTTGATTTTTAGTTCAATGACGATCAAAAGCTACTCTAATTTTTAATTTACACACGTGTATTTTTTTACAAAATAGATATCTATATAAATATAATAGTACTGTCTGTTGTATGTTCGTGTAACTACTTCCCAGAGTGTGGATGGATCTTCAACAAATTTGGTTTATTTGGTCCATGGGGAGATACATGCATATTTTCAGTTTTGCATTTTGCGTTTTTATGGGCGTTTTTGCATCTTTTACCACTACTTCGCCCCCCCCCCCCACATTCCCTGTAGCTGGATCTTCACCAAATTTGGTAAGGAGGTTTGTTGGGTCCACGCGAGATACACGCAAAGTTGCGGTTTCACATTTTGTGTTTTGCAGTTTTTATGAGCATTGCTGTGTTTTTTACAATTACATATAAGGGAAGCAACTTTTTACGTCCTAAGACAACATTTCATTAATCACGAATTTACATAACCTCCGTTCAGGAGATGAGTACTCCAGCTAATATAAAATAATACTCTTCCTTACATAAAAATAATTGAAAAACGTTCAGTAAAAATGTAGGTTGGAAACTTGACTCTCACGTGTCAGAATTTTTTTTATATCGTAATGTTTAAATTGCAGCCAGTTTCTTTTATCACACACACACACCCAGTGGCTAAGCGATAAGCCTGAAGGCTTAAAACGCTAAAAAACGGATTTCGATACCCGTAATGGACACAACACAAATAGAACAAACAAAATCTTTCTTCATCAGTATGAGGGAAGTACAACGTTTTAATGTAACTGTTACTTGAATAGTATGAGATAAACAAATTTAACAGGTACCAAGCGCACCAATAAAGATTATAACGGTTCATTGATGTAACGATAACCCAAGATAAAAATTTGGTTGAAACATTTCAATCTTGTTTGACGCACTTGCTTACTGCCGACCTATAATAGAAATGACAGTGTATTTATAGTAAGTAACAGAAACAAAAGGAATTCAGTTTAATAACAGTTGTTTGAGTAGCTGCCCCTTGAGCTTTCCAGACAAATGTGACGTAGTAGAACCTAATAAGTTTACGAGTGTGAGGCGTACAGTTATCTAAATATTACATTAACGTGATTTTCTGAAGTTTTCTGGATGTACTCACTCTTGAAGTGTAAGGAAAAAAAGGGTGGCAAATCTCACATCCATGATAAACAACCTAAATGTAGTTTTATAATAAAATATTTTTAGGTTTAGCACTTTTATCTACTTATTTATCCATACACGCATACACACACACACACACACACACACACACATATATATATATATATCATTCGGTGTCACTATGGTGCTGCTACATATAGAGAACTAGTTGTACATCCGCAGGATCCCCGAAAGTGTTCTGATTCAAAAGTAAATAAATCCATGAGTAAAAAGTATTTTTATTTTTTACTTTTGAAGTTCATATGTCATGCTGTGTTGCAGCCTACAGAGTACATAATTCTTCTCGTGATTCATAGCATGCGCATGTTTTACTGACTTCACGACAGTACAAATTACAACGTTAAGCGTTCCTTATGTGACGTCATTTGAGTGTCTACTGACTGACAGATAAAACACTACTGTATAGTGGTGCGAGTGGTTAAAACAGGTGATCCCTCCAGACGGCCTTTCGGCCCCCTTTCGGGGAAAATTACTAACTGCCTGTTACATGTCAAATTCTTTCACTACGTTAGCCGTGGTGTTCTTTTAAGTATTCAATCTCCAAGTTCCTGGCGGAAGTTATTTATAAAAATCTTATGGTCTTTCTTCTAAACACAACCATGCTGTATGTAACAGGATGTCTGTGAGTGATTTCAACTGTTTTGTCTTTCCCTGAAAGTGAATTATACGATTAGAATATAAAGAAACGCGGCGTTTAACTTTACAGTGGGCATTGTCGTACGACGCTTCATAATAAACTCAGGTTAACCTAAAGCCAAATATCAAACTAATTGTCAGGTAATTACTATGACAACCCAAACGCATTTAAACTCATTATATGTTTCGACATCAATAAATATTATAAAAGCATTATTCAAAAATGTTTTACATATTTTGTTCTCAGTGGACGAGGGGAACTCTGGGGAATAAACGACGCGATGATGGCAAATGTTTTAAGACATTCTATCTTTGAAACGCACTTGAGCTAAAATGATGTGTGCTAGAATTGTATTAACTAAATGTGAAACTATTTCACCACTATTCTGTTAAAATGTGGCAGGTTGGTTGATTTTTTGACATGGTGGTCTTGATAATGAAAGTGATATTCTATTTCCTCTCCTCTAATTATTTTAAATAACACAAATTTAATTGTTTGTTTGTTTTGAATTTCGCGCAAAGCTACACGAGGGCTATCTGCGCTAGCCGTCCCTAATTTAGCAGTGTAAGACTAGAGGGAAGGCAGCTAGTCATCACCACCCACCGCCAACTCTTGGGCTACTCTTTTACCAACGAATAGTGGGATTGACCGTCACATTATAACGCCCCCACGGCTGAAAGGGCGTAGCATGTTTTGGTGTGACGGGGATTCGAACCCGCGACCCTCAGATTGTGAGTCGAGTGCCCTAACCACCTGGCCATGCCGGGCCCACAAATTTAATGCTTCGTAAAACAGGTGCAGATTATTCAACCGTTAAGAACACAACAACAAATGCAAACTACTTACAAAAATATCATTTTTTTTAATATTATCATTTTACTTAACGAAAAACTACAAAAATAGACAATTCAAATACAGATACACAGACGATACTATTCATCTAAAAAAAAACAGTAAATAACCCATGTCTCAACTGCTCGAAATTTAAGAATAACCGTGATAAATTCATGTTTTCTTCACTGACCTGAAATACCCTGGAAAAAATCCGCCTGCTGGAGATATGACGCCAAGAATGTCCAGATGTGAACAACATGGACCCCTGATGCCTGGGAATAAAAGTCTGTGCCTTCGTACTCTGTTCCCATGTGTCCATGTTAAGCGCGAATTCAGTACACAGCGTCCCCTGATACAGGCGTAACTCTTTTCCTCAGAACTACTAAGTAACGGACGTACCTTCTGCAATATGATCTGTAGCTTGGTATGAAGCGCCCTCTGTACCCGTCAAAGATAGATCATGCTTGAATTTTCGTTTCCCTGTGAAAATAAATGCAATAAAATTATAACGTTAATAAATAAATTATAAATTTAATAACTAACGAAAATATACGTGACCAGTATCCATTCAGATTATATACATGACATTTGGTGATCAGTATCTATTCAGATTATATCAAAATCATGTTGAAAGTTTTGAAATACATGGAATAAGACCAAGCTTCATGATGGCATTCTCACCACTTCTATTATTCATGACGGCATTCTATTTTCTCAGTAATTGGTTTGTTTCGAAATTCGCGCAAAACTACGCGAGGGCTATCTGCGCTAGCCGTCACCACCCACCGCCAACTCTTTAGGTACTTTTCTACCAATGAATAGTGTGATTGACAGTCACGTTATAACGCCTCCACGGCTGAAAAGGCGAGCACGTTTGGTGGAACGGAAATTCGAACCCGCGACCCACAGATTGCGATTCGAGTGCCCTAATCACCTGGCCATGCCGGGCCATTATAAATAAACTCACTATCAAAAACTTTGATAATTTATTATTTACTTTATTCTTCGAAGTTTTATGCTTCATGTCAAGCCATTCTCTTGAAACTAATCAAATTATCTTACCTATCAACTGTTTGATTGTGTTTCCAAATTGAAACTTTTCACTAGTGGTTACCAGTGTGAGGTCCGTACAAGTATCCTTTAAGCGTGTAAGCCAATAATTATTTTCAGCCCAGGATTCACAATTATGATTATCGTCATATCTATAGATTACTCACGGCTCTATCTATACACGCGACAGACACTGTCTGTTGTTCTGGGGACCACACTCTCCTAGATCTCAGTTTTGACAATCTAGCTTTGCTTTTGTAGTTTTTATAACTGCCAACGAAAACAAACATAGCTAAAAAAACAAAACAAAAAAAACTTTATCAATAACATGATTTAAACATGACTGTTAGATTTGTTTTTAAACAAACAATGTATGATATCTCAGATTAGAATAAATGGCTATATCCTTGGTTCGTGCAAAAGAAAGTTAATGTGTATAATAAAATTGGAAAAAAGGGAAAATAAAGGAAAAATAAAATTTAAAATACCAACAAACAACAACGTGAACTTCAAATAACTCTTATTACATTGCATAGAGCAGGTTTGTAATTTTATATTAAATAAGAACTCGGTTATATTAAAAAAAACAGATCAAACCAAGAAAAGTAATCCATAATTCTGTAGGTTTACAAATTCGAAAAGCTAGATGGTACAGAGAAATGAACATTGTATTGAACATAGATAAGTCGAAAAAAGTATATTTCGTACATAAATTTAAAATATGGTTATATATATATATATATATTAACAGTTTCGCTTGTCCAGTTTTAATAATAATAATAACGTGTGTATATATATATATATATGTATATAAAGAACACGATAAATTTGGACAAGTTAAACTTGTACTATAAGCATCATCTCCAAGATATATCGTCTCTTAGACGTGTTTTATCTTCTAAAACAAGTGCCTATGTTCACGATAAACAGTATATTAAAGCACTTGGCATTCCCTTGTAATATAAGAGACCGATCAAGATCAAAACAAAATCAAAGTACACGTATGGTACCTGCCCATGTACGGAGGTTGAGTACTATATATTAAAACGATTTCGAATATGTAAATAAGAAGGACACGTGACAACAACAGCTGCTATAATGACACGCTGGAATGGAATGTATCACAACTATATTTTGACATTGTTTGGCATTTAGTGGGTAGCGTGATGCTACCGAAAATTAATCGCTTTTAGAAAGGAAATGTAACATCCCTTTCCGAGGCAAAATATCCATATATTCAGATGATAAAGATCTGTTCAGATAGGGGATTTAGAATTTCCAAGATGATGATATCTCTTGTACTTAATGTTATTGGAAAACAAAGGAATATGGGTCAACTTGGGGCACCAAGGCCATTTTGAAAGAGACCTTCAAGAAGTCGTATCTAAGCCGTAGTGAGCAAAGTGCAGGGTCTTGTAATAAATAGGTATAAATAGGTGTCAGTAACAAAAGCCGTCTACGTACTCCAGGTAACAGTACGCAATATAATAAAGAAAGATCTCAATCTGGAAAGTGGCATAGTCACGTATAAACAAGTTTCTTCCACGATATATCGGTTCGACCGTAATATACTTCAAGCAACTGTTGAATGAAACAGGTATTCATGCTATCCCATATGCAGACATACTGGTCAAGTCGTGCGATCGGATTGTTGAAAGGGGGGCTGGGAAACCGTCGTTCTAGTACACTATACGTGTTAATTGATAGCCTGCAGGGAGTAGTGTGCTTTGGACATGATAGCCTTATGACAGAGCCTCTTATAATGGAAACTACGCTGCAGGGCTATTGTCAGGATGTACGCTCGTCAGATAAAGTATGATAACCGGACGTGACGACATGGACTGTACTGACGTGGTGAGGTTCAAAAGTCGTTTTAATATAATTTTTGTATAATGTGAATAACATTGGGTTCTTTGGTAATAATGCACAAGAAATATACATACAAAATAAGTTTTATCCATTTTTCATTGTAAAATCTTCCATTCAAGTTCTTTAGAATTTAGAAGTCATATGTATTCCTATTCTTAAAAAAAAAAATCGTACAAGAACGCTAAAGGCAAACTTGTCTCTACGTAAGGTTTACAACAACTTTGCAAAATATATAATAGTGTTCTATTTATATATATATATATATAACACAAAACCTGATGTAATTTGTCTAGCAGGGAAACGTTTTGGCTTACATAACATCTTACGATACAACAAAAACACGTAATATCCTGTGGCTTAGTCGAATATTCAGTTATGCCCTACGGACTGGCGAAATGTCTTCTCAGCTAAACAAATGACACTTTTTTCCTTCCCTGTGACACTGATGATGTGTAGATAGGTGCTGACAATCTGACGTCATTTCGCGTCCATATCGTCGACTGACGGCCGCCGGTATTCCGTGTTCGTATTATCCATTATACGTTGCTGTCATTGCATGTACATTACCGTCTGCATGAAAAAGTTATTAGAAACTTTTCCTGACACATTGCGCCAATTTAAAGCGCCATAATTCTTCCGCTGTCCAGCCACCGGCGATATTAAAGAGTTCCAATGACCACTGATAAGGGCTAGATGGGATACGACTCCCTAGGCTCTTATTCACTTCAGCACAGTTTATATATAACTCGCGCATGCCTACTACACTTTTTCACGCTGTGGGCGAGGCGAAAATTTGTTTTGTTCAATTTCCCTTCTCATTTGTTCAATCAATGTAAGGACAAATAAACTAAACCTAAGAAGAATATGCCAACTTTTACCCGTGTATAGACTAGTTCCATTTATTAATGTCTACAAAAATCTTAAGCGTGTTTGTTCTATAAAGGAATTGACATTTATTTGCACGTGAAAGGAAAATAACATTTAGGTAGCATGCAGTTTTGAAGGTGCGTGCACTGAAATGGCGTAACCTATTTGTTTACGGCATAATTTGCACACGTATTATTTTACGCTGAGATACTACTGTGTTATACGTAATGCAGAAACACTAATTTCTATGTGAAGCTTCGTCTTGGTATATTTACAACACAATACAAATCATACATTCGTTATTACAGAGGCGTGTGCGTATATATATATATATATATATATATACATACATAAGCGCACGGATATATATATATATATATATACACGCATACGCGAAAGTTGGCACTGGACAAAGTACTTCATCATATTCCACAAGCAAATAAATACATAACTTACAAGTTAGTAAAAACAGGATTTCGTCGCACGTTACGAAGAATTGTGCAATGCGTCATGATGATTTAAACGCAATCAATATGATAAACTTATAAAACAAATTTATTGAACATGCGATATACAACAAACATCCCTCAGTCACGTGACATAACAATACATGCACAAGTTAACAGAAGAGTAATAAAACCTAATATATGCAAGAAAATGGGGAGTTACTTTTAGTTACAATCATAAGGCAGGTAAAGTACGCAGGCTAATGACTTTTAGTATATATATATAAATGTAGACCAAGTTAAAAAAGTGTTAACAAGTATCACACAGTTGGTACAACGACCTCTAACGGCAATCGGAGAGTCAGTACATAATCTCTAATGGTTTCATTTTTTCCTAATTTTTCACTGATTAACTAAGTATCTGACTCTTACAGCAGAAAGCTCAAATTCTCAAAAGATTAATTAAACTTCATTAAGCAGTCCGCTGTGTTCGGAGGAGATAACTAAAGGACACACAAGGGTCCTTTCTATTGTCTAGCAGTGGGTCTCCCGAGGTGAACCGGCAGAGCTTTTCTTTGTTCTTGAATTTCAGGCGGCATTTGTTTGTGTCAAAGGTGTTTAGTAATTATGCCTTTTCAAGATAGTGATTATAAACCTGATACTCCTTTCTCTTCTTATGAGAGGATTCAACTTAGGTAATTTTATCATGGAATGATTGTGCGTGTTTTGTTTTTTTTTGTTACGTGCAGGCACGACTTGTTGAGCAAAAAAAAAAAAAACATATGCTACAATGATAGAAAAACAATATAATTTTCTATCACTGCTCAACAGGAAGTAGTTAAAATGCTAATACATTTTCTTTTTTATTGGAAATTCTTACTAGGCCAGTAAATAATGATGTGACTTGATGTATTATCTGCCTTATCATGATTTAACATCACAAATATTAACTGTTAACGGATTATGTTTCCCAAGGACTGTTGAAGAGATACCATTTATGTAAACAAATTAATATTAATCTGTTACACACTCTAATTGGAAACATTTTGTCCTCTTTGTAGTAAGAACGTTGAAAAATAGGAACAAAGGAAAGTTGTTTGATTCCAGACGGGTGTAAAAGAGGATTTTTGGATAGATCTAAGATGGAAGAGGTGTGGCTGATTCACTGAACATCTAACTGGCCAACACAAGGCTGGAGGATGGAAGAGGTGTAGAGTGACTAATTCGCATAATAATGAACTGGCAAACACACTAGTGGAAGATGTGTAAGGTGGCTGATTCGGCTGAACATCTAAGTGGCAAACACAAAGACGAAAGATGGAAGAAGTGCAGGGTGACAGATTTACTGAACATCTGATTGGCAAACACACAGATGGAAGATGTGTAAGGTGGCTGATTCGGCTGAACATCTAAGTGGCAAACACAAGGACGAAAGGTGGAAGAAGTGCAGGGTGACAGACTTACTGAACATCTGATTGGCAAACACACAGATGGAAGATGTGTAAGGTGGCTGATTCGGCTAAAAATATAACTGGCAAACACATGGATAGAAAATTAGAGAACTGTAGGGTGGCTGATTTGGCTAAACATATATATATATATATATATATAACTGACAAACACACGGATGGAAGATGGAAAGAGGTATAGTGTGACTGATTCGCTGAACATATATATATAACTGGCAAACACACGGATGGAAGATGGAAGAAGTATAGTGTGACTGATTCGTTGAAAATATATATATATAACTGGCAAACACAATGATGGAAGATGGAAGAGGTATAGTGTGACTGATTCGCTGAACATATATATATAACTGGCAAACACACGGATGGAAGATGGAAGAAGTATAGGTGTGACTGATTCGCTAGAACATATATATATAATTGGACAAAACACGAACGGGATTAGGGAAAGTATTAGGGAAAGAAGGTAGTAAGGTAAGTA